GTGATGCTACTGCTACAGTTGCTCAGAGACTCAAACCAAGCTCTGGGAGTTACAAGCGCCCCGTCTAAGGCTTAGGGATGAGGATCTCGCGAGGTATCCTTTAATCGTCGATTGCTCGAAGCAGGAAGGGTAACTTATCAGGGGCCTACTTTCTCCTGTAGTTTGGACATTGGATGGAAAAGATGTATATACTCTTTCTTGACCTTAGCCTCCTTTCCACTCCGCCTTTGGCGGAGCTCAAAAAGTCACGATGGATTCCGCAAGGGCTGGACTGCTCTGAAGGTGTAGGAATTAAGTTCTGACTCAAGTTTAGGCCGTCAGGTTCCTGTGGAACACGCGCTGCAAAAACACAACCAACAGTGTCTAACACAACAAGTCCCGACTGCGTAGAAACATCTATAAGACTTTTTCGAACGCACCTCCACACTCTATAACCTCTGCAGCATGCTGAAAATATGCATCCTGCAGTATGTTCGATGTTGACAAAGACCTCTTAACAAAGTTCAAAAACTCAGACACATTGTTCCTCTGGACCTGGAATCCTAAATCCTAAACCCTATACACCTTCAACCTGAAACCCTAAGCCCCGCAACCCGACAGCCGGAAACCCTGCAGAAGCGACCCTCTGGTTGGTCTGGGGACAGACTAAACAAAATTTTAACATGAAGATGACAAAGACGTTCGCGCCTCGGCTTCCTGCAACTTTTGCGTTTGCTTCCGTGTACCGGCCCTACAGCCTACAGCTTAAACCCGCAACCCTAAACCCTCAAACCCTCTCATGGGGTTCCTAGGCACCTTCGAGACAGCGCCGGACGCGGCGCCCGCGCCGCACCTTGTAGCTAACGGGGCTCTCCAAATGAGAGTCATTTTATGGCAAACTTATTGTGAACAGGGCTTCGAACACTAGAATCATATCATGGTAAAACTACAGCTATGTTACAGTGGTATTGGGGAAATACAACTGTGTAGTAGCATACTATGTGGACAAGAAGGCGATGTTATGATGCAGTACAGAGTACTACGTATTCAGATCCCTATCTCAGACGCAGGGAATACTAGTTGCGGGTTTTACATTTAGGTTTTCCTTTCTTCCCCTATGATTATCGTACGAAGTCGGAGCAACTCCGGAGAAGTCTGCTTTGAGCATTGCGACATGGAGTCAAAAGAGGATTACGGCTCTGCTCAGGGGCTTGGGGCCTAGTTTGGGCAGGAAAGTTTGAAGAAAGTTTTTGTGCAAGTGGCTGTGCACAGACACGCAAAGGACGAGGCTTTTGTTGCATCCCCAAAGCGAGACAGGGGATGTCAGGAGGCCGAGGGCACTGCATCGCCTCAGACCCTCGAACCCCAAAGTCCTTCAAAACCTTTCTCACACCCAAAGGCCTGTCACCTTCGAACTGCAATAGTGGCATCCACGAAAACCCTCTACGCAAACCTTTCATCCCTACACCCTGAACCTCCAAGTTCAGAATCCCTACTTCCTAATCCCCCACCGTAGCCGACCTTCAGGGTAGAACCCACAAACTGGTTTTACCCTCAACCCGAATCCGACGGATCTCCAGTAACCCCTTTCATAAGAAGTGCACCTGTAGAAATTAAGGAGAAGGAACCCTAAATCCTCACCCCTCAACCCTAACCCCTTAGCCCCGCGAAGCCCCCGGCGGCGCTAGGGCCGGTTGGCTCTCATCTCCTGCAAAGGCTTTGGGGCCAAGGGCCTGGGGGCCTTGGATTTGGCGGGCTTGCGCGTTGCAGATATGTGGAGCTTCCATAATAAGCTAGGATAGGGACTAAGGCTTCGGCAAGGTCTGCAATCAATACAGGGGTCCAAGAAGCGCGATAAAGTCAACTCAATCCTTAGTTCCGCTCGATTTTACCTTTAAACTCTCGGACCTTCAGAGTGTTGACACCAAGTGGAAAGCTTGGAGTCTTGATGATTAAAGGCGGGCTAAGTCATTCAAAGCTTATCAAGGGTTTGGAGTTTAGGGCTTGAGGTCTCGACGTAGACCCTAAACACCAACGGCCTCGACGATGAGGTCCAGGGTCGTTTGGATCTCCAGCATTCTTTGGTCCATAACCTCCCGATTGCTGTCTTCTCTCTTTTTTCTCGGAGTTTCGGGTTCCAACTTCAGAGCGCAGATTTGCGGAGTTGGAGCTCTGTCTATCTGTCTCTCTCTCTCTCTCTCTCTCTCTCGCTCTCTCTCCTAATCTCCTCTCCCAGCAATGGAAAACGTGCGGAGCTTTATCGAAGGAAGGGTTGCGCTTGTTCCTCAAAGCTGCTTTTGGCACTCCACGACAAAGTTGCAGCAGCCAATGTCGTGATCTCGTGGGTTCTCACCGGAACTTCTGTCGACAGCCGTAGCATCCACCACCTTTATAGCCAGCCTTCGTCAAGTGATTCGAGCGGATGCACTTTGCTATGAGTCGAAGGGGGCCCAAGGCCTCTGAAAGCAACTTGACACACCCCTAACTCTGCGTGAGGCTTCAAAGTGTACCTCTGCTCTGGGAAGGAAGCCCCTGCACTTGAAACGAAACCCGAAACCCAAAACCCAATCATCGTATTGAAAGGGATCTCGGAGCCTGCAGATTGCCCAGTTTTCCTCCCTTTGGGTGGCTGACACACAGGCGAAAAATCATGAGGTTGCATGGGTCGGATAAGATTGTAGGTGTTCCTTGCTTGGGCACAAGTGATCCCCAACCGTGAAGCTTAAGCACCCAACCTACAACACTGAATACCAGACCGTATGCCCTCAACTTACCCCAAACCCAGAACCTGCAAACCTGAGCCCTCAGCCCTCGCAGCTCAGAGAACTGCTGGGAGGCCGACGGCCGACAGCATGCTGTTCTGTTCGAATGTGGCTATCTGACGTGAGCTTAAAGAAAAACCGAACCCACACCTGGCAACCCCAAATATCAAACGCCTGCGTAACTAAGCCCGGTTGATGCGAAGAGATGCACCAAAAATGGCCTCCACCTTCCCTCTCAGCCGCTGAATTTCCCCATTCGATTCCTCTTCGGGGTTGAGAGTTTGGGGTTTAGGCGGTTCCTGTCCTTTGGCGGGCGGGGGGGCTTTCGGACTCTGAAGCACATGCTTGAAGTTCTAGGGTAGTGGTGGGTGACGGCGGTAACCGTAAAAGTTGCGGGTCTCTTTGTAGTCGGTGTCGCTGCTATTGCTTTGATTGCTGTTGCAGGGGCAGGATAACAAGAAGCACCGCCAACACCACCACCACCACCCACACGAGAAACGCTAGCTTTGACTGGTGCTGCTGCTCAGCCGACTGTGTTCCTTAAATCCATGTCAGACGGCTCCTGCAGACAGGTCCCACCCCGAAGATCCCCGAAGGGAACGGTCTCAGGCCCAATGCTCTGGTGGTCCTATGCCCCCCAACCCGAAAACCTCAACGGTGAGGCGTACAGGGGTGCCCTCGCAGGAGCTTCACTGGAAGAGCTTTCTACCCTTCTCTACATTTTTGAAACATGATGAAGCTAAGCCCTAAACCACACCCGAAACTTCCGGATAGTCCAATGCCCGCCCAAGGCCCTACTTCCTAAGAAATCCCCGCGCCCTCGAACCCCTAGAACCCGATTGTCTCGGTTCAGGGTTTCGGGGCCCGGGCTTGACTAAAACCCCACGGCCCTAAGCCGCATACCCTTGCATCCTAAACTGAGACCGGTGTCCTGAGACACCGAGTTCGTCCGAGTCTGTGCAAGCAGGACATGCTTCGATTCATTTCGCAAAGGCTTAGGGGTTTACTGTGTAAGGCTTGAAGGAGTCAGGGTCGTACGTGTATGGTTTGCCTGGGAGAAGAGAGCTTGGGTTCACTGTTGAAAGAGTTTACTGTTCACAGCATGTTCAATACTGCTCGTATTCCGACTAGTCTTTCGGCCTTAAACCTGCACCTCTAGTTATCAGGATGTTTCACAAGTGCCAGGAATCGGAAGTGATTCCGTCTCCGATGGAATCTGAAACCCTGAAGGAACGGAGCGGTGACGCGGTGAGGTTTTGTCGTTTTGCTTCGGTCGCGGAGGCCTTAGCGGAGGGTAGCCTCCAACTGAGAGCCCTTGCCACCTAGCAGCAGGGCTCCTTCGAAGCGAGGTCTTCTCTTGCACGGATTTACGACTTCCGAAGCACAACTCGCATCTTTCATAAGCAATCTTCGTCGTGCCTCCTAGACAGACTCTTTCAGCCCGCGCGGCCCAACCAAATCCGAACACACAGAGAGCTCAAACCTGGAAGTTTCCCACAGATCCACGAACCAACACCGCAAACCACTTGTCAGAACAGATTCTTCAGACCCATCCCAGGGAACTCAACCGAACCCAAGACTTGCAAAACCGCATGCAAGAGCTGCAGAAGCCCACAAACTGCTATGACATAGGGGGCCTCAGACGGACTCTACAGGGGGATGCCATCACGAAGCAGTCCAAGCCCTCCAAAAAGCCCAGTCCCAGCAGTGCCCTCGGTCCGAAAATGTCCGAAAGAGATATATTCTATATTATCTACTATATATCTACTATATAATATATATATATATATATATATATATGTGTGTGTATGTAACCCTCGCCGCCTGAACCGGGCTGGGCGGCACCTCGGCAATGAACGGATTTAGGGCTTTTAGGGCTGTTGAGTCTAGGATGTCTCGGGTCGGTTTCGGAGGGAGTCGAGGATACTGGGGGGGTGAGGCTTTGCACCTGTGGGACTCACATCTGTCACAGCTGAAAAGTTTTGTTCCATTCCACATCTTGGGTCCTCTGGTTTACTGTAAGGGTGCTGGGATGCTTCCGGCAAGGGCTTCACGGAGCTTTGCGGGGTTGATATCTTCGATGTTTGTGATGAACGGTGAGCAATAAAGTCATGCGGTTGCAATGTCACGAAGACGCTGCCCAGACTCTTGAAAAGCCTGGATTGCTGTATGGGGCTTTGGCATCGTGGCAGCCGACCACTTGATCTACAAACCTGCTGTTCATGGCCCTTCATCCTGTGGAACCCTCGGAGAAAACACTCACACGTAAGTCTCATCGTCAAGCTCAGGCACTGACCCCTGAGACCGAAACCCTAAACCGTATAAGTCCAAGCCTTCAGCCTTAAAGCCCCAACTCCTCGAAACTCCGACAAGTGAGGCTTCGGCGATGATCATGGCAGTGGGGGGCTTGGCTGAACGGTCTTTCTGCATCCGCTTGCCGAAGCGGTTGCGGTAGAAGGTCCTCGGCGTTCGGATGGGCTCTCTCCATCGCACAGAAGATTTTAGGGGGCTATGGTCTACAGTTCCACACTCGAAGGATGACAGCCTGGCACGCGGAGAGTTTTTGGCATCCCGAAGCTACGCAGCTTCGAGCGTTTGCGAACATGCGACCCGGGCTTAGGGCATGTGGGGCATAGGGGTTAAGCTACTGCCGGCCATCAAGTTGGAGCATCGAAAAATGACGTATGATGCTCCTTTCCCCACTCTCCCAGGCCGTCCTACAAGTATAGCGTTGGGGGGACGCCCTGCCCTAAGGCCCCAGGCCCTAAGCCTTGGCCGGAATCTCTTGCCAAGGATCTGGATGGTGTGCAGCGCAAACATCTTGTAGTTGCCTCGGTCGGAGGCACTGCATGTGTCTCCCTGGGTTCGAGACCAATGGAAAACGGGCTTTGGGTTATTCAAATGGGGTACTGATACGACTAAACGTGAGACGCTTGTCGTCAGGTTAGTAGGCTGGATGATTAGACGTTTCTTTGAGGCGCTCACAACTATAGTTTTTGTGGCCACGATCTTCCGTTCTCGTCCGGTACCCCTTAAATGCGAAAGCCTGACTCCTAAAGCAGCGATGCCACCCACCCACACACACACACCCACACCCTACAGTAGCAGGTGAAAACCCAGAGCCTAACCCACAAACATCACTCCAAAACTCAATGCAAGCGGAATCCTGGACCCGAATCCATGGGAAGCCGAGTCCCAACAGCCCTAAACCCTCAAAGCTCCCGTTCTTCAAAACCTCAGGGGCAAAACCCCACACCTTGCCCACCCAGCTGCTTGCCTAGCGGGCCACTGTCCCGTTACAGGCAGTCTAGTAGACTTTCGTAGACTTTCATACAGGTAATGCCAGGATACAGTGGCCCCTTGAACAGACAATTCGCCTTTTACTCCAAGCCTTCCGCACATCCTACTGCACTGCACACCCGAAAATCCGAAAACCCTCTAGTCTCTAAGCTAGAATCAGAGAACCCTAACATCACTGAGTCCCAAAACCAAAACTCCCAAGCATTGAACCCTGCTAGCAGCGCTCTCGTCGAGGGACGCTTCTGCGTCAGCTGCTCCAGAAGCTGCCCCCGGTGCCACTCCTTCGATGCTGCTAGTGCAGGGTTTTAGGGTTTGGGGCTGAGGGCTGAGGGTTTCTATAAGGATTCATTTAAGGGTTCCTCCAAGGGTTAGTACAAATCAGGATCCTATAAGGGTTGCTATCAAGGTTTCGTAGGATATTGTCTGTGTGCTTTATCTTTCCTTCTTTGCAGAAAAAGACTGTCGTGTTGTATCTTCTTGCATAGAATAGTACTGACTGAACAGTGCAGAAGAAAATGGTACAGCACAGTATGGAAAAAGTATAGTAGAGCATACTATATTCTATTGTGTTGTATTCTGCGGGGTCGCTCGGCTACGGTACTGTTAGGTTTAGGGCTTTACAGTTTTAGGGATTAAGAATTAGGATTCAGGAATTGGGGTTTGGGCTGGCCATGAGTTTTCAACCGCAGTATAATATCCCATCATGCATATTCTGTGCAAAAATACTATAATTCTAAGACTTCAAGAGCGTAATTATAAGCTGGGTAGCACTCTGCAGGTTCTCATCAGCACTAGATAGGCTTCGCCAGGATCTTACGGGTGGCGTTGCAGCAAACACGCTCTGGCAACCTGTAGTGTCAAGCAGCCCCCATGTCAAAGGACAGAGGAGTCTATGGCGGCCTCTGCGTGGGTGTTGCTGATAATTGCGCGTCGCGCTGGGGGTCCATGCATTTGGGATTCTCCTACTTGAGGGTTTACTTTGGGTCCCTCACCTTCTAAGGCTCTCCCAGATGTGCTTTTGTCGTTTCGGGATGGGAACTGCTGAAAGAAATTCTGCTTGACCGGACTGGATTTAGCTCTTAGAGTCGAGGGTTCCGGTGACACGGCTTGATGTTTGGAGTTGAGGGGCGCGGGCCCTCCCTAAGCCCGACGACACATGCAAATCCCAAGCGCAGGCTGTCCATGACTTCTCGATTGAAACACCAAACAGACATCCAAACGATGGAAAGTAAGAGACCACCAAAGGGTCATACAAGATCGTGGTGAAGGCAACAAATTCAACTCTCAACCCTTCCCGTGCTGAGCTGGGACGGGGCTCCTTTCGTCTGGCGACTTTGATCCAAATCTGCGCCGCGCCTGGGAACTCGCCTCGCAAGGAATATTAGGAGCAGTTCAGGTCGCGCTTCCGACTCTGCTGCACTGACAAAAGAGCGCGTTGAATCTTCGTCAGAAGGCGATGATGACAGGGTAGGGACGGTGGTTGCGGTCACTCTTGATATGAATGTCGTCTCAAGGATGGCTGCCAAGGCATGATCACCGGACCAGCAAGATAAGCTTATAAGAACACTTAGGAACTGAGGTAGCTTGTGTCGTTGACCAGCGCCGCCAGTCTCTCTAAAGACTCGTGCAACTCTGCTAGTGCGAGCAGTACGATTGAGAGCACTGGGTACCGTAGTGGTAAACGTAGAAGAACTGAAATGATTCGAGCTATGACGATACCATCGCCACTACGGGATCCACACACCTTTGCTCAACAATTATGATTAGGATCTCAGAACAAGGGATTCTTTTAAAATACAACTGGCTAAACGCTTGTAGATACCTCTGCAAAACCTACATAGGTTGCAAAGACAGACTGAAGAATCCCAAGCTTAAGCATGACCGCATAGGAACTTACTCAACTAAGTGCATTACGACTACAGCTTCCTCAGTTCCTTGTTACCGTACTTCCTAACTCTCTTCATCCTTCGCCTTCAAGCCAATAAAAACGAAAATCCTATGGAGCGCTAGTATAGGATGTAGGGATCTGGACTATGAATAATCAAACTCACGAACAGTCCATCTAAGTCTACAATACATTCTCCCTTTGCTAGTTACAGGTTTTCGCGAGCATCACCCTGCAAAAGTATTCTAAATTATTACGACACCCCATTGTTCCACAGTAGGGAAAGGCGGCCTTTCAGCTCCAGCAGATCCTTCTTGTGGAGGACCAGCCTGGGCTTGCGACAAAAGTACGGGGGTTTGTGATTTGTGGCTCTTTCGTAACGGTTGGTTCAGGCCTCATCGGCTTGGGGCTTGGGGACTGGGACGCAGGGTATGGAGGAAACAGGAACCCCCCCCCCTCCCCATCAAAGAAGAAACCCAAAGCAATGCGTACACCATACACTCACCACCACCCTTCCCCCCCCCGGTCGGTAATCGAGGCCCTACTTCTCGAAAGTCACCAGCCTCAAGGGAGCTGCAATAAGGACTTCTCGGCGCTTTTTGGGTCGCGGAATGAGGCGTTCTATAAGGTTCCCATTATTAAGGGTTCTATAATACGGATACTATAATAAGAGTACTGTTAAGTTTCCCTTCAGATCGAAGGTTTCGGGCCCTGCGGCTTCTGCCATCAAGTTTGGGTCTGATGTTGGGGCACGATTGCTCTTGCGATAACTCGTCCAAGAGCCAACTTTGACGAAGTAATACCAGGAACCCTGAAACCCCCTCAAATTGCAATAATGGTGCGAAACTTACAAAACCAACATCCCAAAACACGAAACCCTAAACCCTGAGCCTAGATCTTACTTCTCGTGGTTTGCTGCTTCAAGCCCTCTGTAAGTGTTGTGCAGACCAGCACAGGAGGGAAGTCAAACACTTCTGGCCGTTTCTGAAAGCACCTCCAAAAGTGATTCGCAACCGAGAACCCAGAATCCAACCCAGACCCTAAATCTGCCCAGATCCCATGGCCCTATGGCCCTGGTGTACGCACCCGATCAAGCAAACCCGAAAACTCCAAACCCCAACCATAAGCCCTATGCCAAACTCTCCTCTGACAGCCGAGGGGCACTTCCGCACCCAGTTCCGACTCCACGCGGGCGAAGGCGACGCGGGAGGGCAGGTCGGCGAAAGGCTCGTACCTTGGATCCAGCGCCTTAAACCCTCATACTTTGGCATTAAAGCTAGGATTTGGGGCTTAAGAGGTTTTAGAGCTTATGGAGGTTATTGAGGGATTCAACCGAAGCCGCAATTCAACAGCCACGGTCCAGCTGCTTTGAGATCACTAGTCCTTTGATAGGAGCCGCTTAGAGAACAGCGATCGATAGCCTGGGTTTTGGGTTGCTCCTAGGAACAGAAAGGGCTCCCTTTCTGGTATTGGGTAAGTGTATAAGGAGCCCAAGACCACAAACAGTTAAAAAGGGCCCACTGGGAGGCTTAGCCTACAAAGAAGGACTTCGCTTGCTCGGGCACTTGGCGTAACTGCCGAGGTTCACATGATTTGGCGGCAAACCCGTTACCCAAACTAGAGCCCTAAACCTGGAAATCCCGAAGCCTCGAGTCAAAACGAACGTTGCACAGTCCGAATTAAGTGAGGAATCACTGACTAAAACACCCGAATCTAAAGCATCAGCCAAATGAAAAAACCATACCTGACAAGCCGTGCAAAACTCCAGAGTACTCTTATAAAGCCGCGAGCATAAGGAAGCCCCCTTATTATCGCAGCCGCGCAAAACAGGAAGTTTGGTTTCGCAAGGGTTCGGGCACGGTCGTTCTGGCAGGGCTTAGGGCATGCTTGCTCATGAAAGTATCTAGGACTCCGGGTTGCACTGTAGCTACAAGTGCAAATGTGTCCGGACGATGGTACATGAGGAGTTTCGGGCCATGAACCTAAAGCCCTCCGACCACAGAACGCATCTCACCAGGCGTAGATTCGCAGATGCGAAACCCCAAGCTCTAATGATGCTTAAGGCTTAAGGATGCAGGCGATTCGAATCAACGGGGTTTGGGGGGCTTGCCGCATAGCAAACTGCGCCCTTGGAAAGGGAACGGCACTCTATGTTTTCACCGCCCGGAAGCATTGCACCCCGGCCATTTCAGCCAGTGTCTCGGTGTAGACCGATCCATTCTAACTGAAGACTGCGATTTTACCCAACCGTATAGCATCAAACATGGATGCCCCGTGGTACTCTGGCCGCAGGTATTTTGTCCTTCCAGGAAACTGTCGCACGACGGCAAGAGAGCATCTGCACATGCAGAAGACTTCTTTGAGTACAACCCTGTGGGCTACTTTCAGCTCAGTACGTGGCGAAGAGGATCGTAATGAACAAGATGGCAGCGAGAACGTCACCCCATCCGTGGCAACCACTGATCTGGGCGGATCCTCTATGATCAAAGTGATTTAGCTTGGAACCAAGCAAATTACGAATACCAAAACATGAACTCTGGAGGCGGAACGTCACTTATAAGAAGACTTGGCTGTTGAGAAGGTGTCACGCTTTCAACTGCGAACTCGCGTGTTGAACTCAAGCGGCGCTCTCGCT